TGCTCATGTCAACCCTTCACTATACCACTTCACTCAGTGTTCACGTGCTCATGTCAACCCTTCACTATACCACTTCACTCAGTGTTCACGTGCTCATATCAACCCTTCACTATACCACTTCACTCAGTGTTCACGTGCTCATGTCAACCCTTCACTATACCACTTCACTCAGTGTTCACGTGCTCCATGTTAGTTCTTCTTTACGTTCGCTATTCTTCTTTGAATTTCAACCAGTAATTTCATTATGTCAATCAGAACTTTTCACCTTGGCTGTCCGCCATTACCAAGTGGTTGTTTACAGCTGTTAGGCAGATATTTTTCCTCTTCTGATCTCTACTTTACTGTGTTACTAAAAGTCATGTTTTTGATTTCTTCTTTCAAGAGTCATTTTGACGGTGACGACAGCGTTGACCGTGACCTCAAAGTTATCTAGTGAACAGGTTTAGTACTTGTTTTTTCTTTATATACCTTTACAAAATGTTTACTTGATAGTTTAAAAATAAAGCACCGTGATGTATTGAGCATGCATAGGAGAGAAAAAAGGTATCTTTCGCGACTGAGTTAATATACGAGAAACCAACAGAAATCTGTCTTTTGGTTTCAATAAAATAAAATGTGTACACGAGAAAAACAATCAATTGTTTGTATTAGTTTCCTAAATAATAAACCTAAAACATACGCCCCTGAACTGTTGTAGTATTAAAGATCAGTTTGTGAACTTTTTCAGGCTTCTTAGTTTGTGTTATAGGATAAGTGTGTGAACTCTGTCAGATTGATACAACTTTAAAAGACCAACTGGTAAACTATAACGGATTTCTCAGCTACAGTCATCTTGTGAACTTGGTACTTCTCAGCTGTAACTTTAAAGGGTCATCTTGTGAACTTGGTACTTCTCAGCTGTAACTTTAAAGGGTCATCTTGTGAACTTGGTACTTCTCAGCTGTAACTTTAAAGGGTGATCTTATGAACGTTGTACTTCCCAGCTGTAACTCTAAGGGGTCATCTTATCTAACTTTGCCAGAATAATGGATCATAATCCACAAGCGCACATATTTTTAAAACAAGGTTTATATCGAATTTGAAGAAAATCTAATTTAAAATTACATGTTAATAATATAATTGTTTAAGTGTTCAGGAGAAAATAACACCACTCAGCTCAGAGTCAGAAGGACAGAGGTTAATAGTCATAGAAGAAATAGAACGTTAAGCCATGTTTTCTGCTTCATTAAACTAATAGAAAGCTTACAATTAAAACATTTTTTCGCCCGTATAAAAATTGAACCTGACCGTTGTCCTTTTTCATGATATAACGTAACTGAAATGTATTAAACACTCAAATGCAATGGATCAAGCTGTTTGGACCTATTGCTACCGCATCATTACGGTCACTAAGCCCCCCAGTGGCACAGCAGTACGTCTGCGGACTTCTAACGCTAGAAACCGGGTTTCGATACCCGTGGTAGCCAGAGCACAGATAACCCATTGTGTAGCTTTGTACTTAACTACAAACAAAACGATCACTAAATATCTCTCATATTCTATTTTGAAGTAATAGCAGTAAAAGCTCTTTTGGAATGAGAAAATTATCCGGGGTCCACAGATAAAATTGTTTAATTCTATGATTAATTTACTTGTCATCAGACATTAGCATTAGGCTTATAATATTTATAACTGTACACTTTTTATCTAGGGACTGTTCGGAAAAGGCTTTCCCAACATAACAATTGTTATTGAATTCTAACTTTATTTTTCCAACTAAATCCTTTATTTTCTCTTGCACTTTTCCAATGTAATTTGTGGACTCTTTGGCACATATGTGTTTTTTTTTTCAAACTGGAAATATTTAATATGTGTAGTCAGACAAGTAAGTCGGTAACCCTTGGTTTTTCCCTTACTACGCAATAGACAGAGAGCGTAGGCGACGCACAATAATACTTTTCCAACTCCATTAATGATATACAACTTCAATCTCGACATCAATGGCGTTTAAACTTTTAAACTTTTGCTTTCGTCAAGTAGAAATAAACCAAATGAGATAACGCGTGTGAAATTGCGTAGCTATGGCTACCCAAAACAAGGCTAAATACCAAGGACAAACTAATACTTGTTGCAGTGAGTCATCCATCATTACTCCGTAATACTTTTACCTCTGCAAAAACAAGATTATTGAGAGTTCATAAAAAAAAAAATGGTTATTGTTGTTGGAGAATAGTATTATTAGTAATTATATTCGTTTTGCATCGTCAAACCAGTGCATTGTTGAACGAATAAAGCGTTCCTCGAATAATTAATTTCTTACTTCGCTTCTTATTCTTGCTTATCCAAACTATATCTTTGAATTCTCTTGAGTTATTAAGTATTTCAAAACGAAATATTTCATTTCATACTAGCCCAAACATGTATTCTTAGAGCATTATAGTCTTTTTTCATCATTAATTGTTTTTTGGAAGACTAAAACAGCGCATTTTCTTTTATCTGCGATTATTCTTTGGAAGATTAAAGAAATTGAAATGTTTTAGAACTTTCAATTTTCATCAATGACGGAGTTTCGAGATGTTATTTCTTAAACGCGAACGAAAAAATTATTTTAACTGTTATAAATCTACCTTAATTAAGAAGGATAAGATAAAGGTGTCCAATTGTGATGATTTGTGTATTTCAAAAAACAGACTGGATTTCTTTAGTTATACAAATTCGTATACAAAATTCAATTACATTTACGTCATTCGTTTAACCTACTTTAACTTAATTTCACTCAACTTTTGACAGTTTTTGCTAGATAATTTATACAGGATCTAACACTGAACAATAACTAGATGAGGATAAAAGAGTACGACGGGATTGGGTGTGTGCTAATAATATATCTACTATATTTTTAACATTCGGGAAAACTTCATACTTCAGCTAAACGGAAACTGGGTATGAATTTAAATACACGGTGAAAAATCGTGTTACTGCTCTCTTTGTCTCTACTCTGCTTGTATTAGAAAAACCTGATAAATTGGACATCTATATAAACTGTCGTATAAAATCGTGAAATCCCAGACTTTTTAATTATTACGTAGAGTTTTTCTTGTTCGCTTTGATAACTGGAATAACAGGTTTTTAACGCTTTGAGTAGTGCTTGGATAACACTCAACAGAACAAGCATGTACTGTGTCAGAATATGTTTGGATATTTTTATACAATACAGTAAATAAAAAAAGATTGAATTTTTCAAGTAACGACTTAGGGATTACCTGAGAAATTTCTTATGGGTATTAGTTGGGATGAAGTACTCCTCGAAGGATTTTCCAGTTCCGTTTGTTTGTTTTTCGCTAGTAACTGGGCTGTTTACAGGAATTCCTTCGTCTTTCTGGTCTTCATTATGTAAATTCGTTTCTTTAACGTTATCTTGAGCTTCTTGGGCCTTGTCATTGTAATCTGTAAAAGGAGATAAATCCTTTTCAATGTACTCCAGGGGAATTTTCTCCTCCGTAGGAGATTCCCGAGATTTGGGTTTCCTCTTGGCCCGCACGCGCCCCGTGTTAAAATTTATAAGGGCATCATCTGGAATGGCGATTTCAGTGTGTCCATTTTGATTCAGAACTTGGCCATTTCCATTTGCGAGGTATTTATTATCTAATTCATGGTCCTCTGGAGAACAACGGTTATCCTCATGTCCAATTGATGCTTGGTCAGCCACTTCAGTTTCGTCTGAGTCAACAATTGATGCTTTGTCAGCCACTTCCGTTTCGTCTGAGTCAACAGTGCTCTTATCTGAATCCCTTACCTCCTCAGACTCGAATGCAAAATTAACCATTCCTGCTTGCTCTTCTACGTCTGAAGGAGATGCAAATTCTTCGTCAAATGACACCACTGCCCTCTGTCGGTGTTCGTCCCGGAAAACAGGAGTCTCTTCTAATTTAGCTCCCCCTGGAGGTGTTGTTGTTTCAGTTCCATTACTGACCGATGACCTTCCGGAGCTGGGACTAGAATGTTGTCCAGCATTAAGCACAACTGTTGTTCCATTCTCTTCTTGAAAAGCAGTGTTATCCAGGCCGTCCATACCTCCATCTGGTGAAGTCTGAAACGAAATAAAATAAACGTTTTATTACTTTTTACTTTATTAACGAGATTTTTACAAATTGTAATAATAAATTTATAAACAAAAACGTATAAGCATAAGTCAAGATGTAATGAAAGACCAGGAAAAAGTATCCTGATCCTACTGATAATTAAACGTATTCTAATACTACTGATAATTACGTGTATCCTGATACTACGTATAATTATGCTTATCCTTATACGACTTGTAATTACATGTATTCTGATATTACTTTCAGTTACATGTATCTTGATATTATCGATAATTACATGTATTCTGATATTACTTTCAGTTACATGTATCTTGATATTATCGATAATTACATGTATCCTGATGAACATAGTTGGTTAAGTGCCAATTAAATTTAATTATGAAGAATGAACATATCGGTAATTATTGTTAGGTAACGCTTTACAGGATGTTTCTAGGAAACGTAACAATATTCTAATACATGGTAATTATTGTTAGGTAACGCTTTACAGGATGTTGCTAGGAAACGTAACAATATTCTAATACATGGTAATTATTGTTACGCACCGCTTTACAGGATGTTGCTAGGAAACGTAACAATATTCTAATACATGGTAATTATTGTTACGCACCGCTTTACAGGATGCTACTAAGAAATATTACTAAGCGGTAAATTAAAGTAGCGTCATCTAACCTTTAAATTATTTAACATAAAAGCTCGTACCTCCACATCCCATGTTAAATTATAAAAACAACAAACCGCGGGATATTCACGTGCGCACAGGGAAATTCCGCGTGTTTCTATAAACATCTTAACGCTTAAGCTCGGTAAGCTCATGATAAGTACCGTCTTCTTCTTTTTTATATTATTATTAAATTAAATCATTATATAAATAATTTTATGACAATGAGTCCTACCTGTGTATACAATTCACCTTGAATTTTCTTGTTGCGACTCAAAGCTAGAGATGTGTGTATATTTGGGTGCACGGGGCCTTTCACGATAACCTTTGTACGAGAGAGCCAGGTTGAAGAGGGCTAAAAGGGGGAGGAAGGGGAAAGGCAAAAGGGGAATCGAGCATAAAGCATCCCGTTTGTACCTGGCACGGTTTGTGTCTTTGGGTTATGAAATTTTTTGACGGTCGCCTATAGTCATTAGCTTTAATCTATGCCATTTTTGGAGTAAGTTTCATACCAACGTTATAGGATTATGTAAATTAATAAAGCCATTTATAAATTATGACCTTTATGTGTCCCGTAAAGTAAAATCAGAGAGTTGGTTCCAAATAATGAATTAAAAGTCACTATTAAATAACAGGTATTTTGTTTGTTTGTAATTAAGCACAAAGCTACACAAAGGGCTATCTGTGCTCTGCCCACCACGGGTATCGAAACCCGGATTCTAGCGTTGTAAGTCCGCAGACATACCGCTGTGCTACTGGGGACAATAACAGGTAAAAGTGATCATTATAATTGTTTGTTAGATTTTCCGATTTACGTTTAGAATATAAGTTGTTGTTGTTTATTTCACTCAAACTCTAAACTTATAAAGATGTTTTCTAGTAATGGAATATATTAAGTGTCATTAACTGGAAATTTTTAAGGTTTTATATATATATATATATATTAAACAAGTGGAAATTCGTATAGAGTCCTACTATACTTTTGTCTAAGAAACCTGCTGAAGCTCCTCATAACGATCCAATGTTATGGCAAAGTTAGCTCATAACGATCCAATGTTATGGCAAAGTTAGCTCATAACGATCCAATGTTATGACAAAGTTAGCTCATAACGATCCAATGTTATGGCAAAGTTAGCTCATAACGATCCAATGTTATGCAAAGTTAGCTCATAACGATCCAATGTTATGGCAAAGTTAG